AGCCTCGCCGGCCGCAGCGCGGAGGGGCCCCCAAGGTGTTCGATGTGTTGGAGTCTCTCAGGAATCCAGGCCGTGTTCCTGCTCTCGGGGAGTGAAGAATTAAACCGCTTACAAGTTCAAGTGCTGTCTGTAGTGGCCGAGGAGACCCCTGGTACTTCTTTAGCAAGAGAAAGATAGGAATAGATACGAGCTTGCATTACAAATGGTGAAAACTCTTTTCTATCCTGAAATTAACTTCTTGCTGGTGACCACGAAAATTACTCGTTGCTGTCCTCTTTAAAGAGTATAGCTGTCATTCTTTGTTAACAAGTCGAAAGAACTTTTTAATCACCACTTTATTACCTTTAGCAGTAGGTGTCAACACTTAGAAATAATCCTGATAAAATGTCTGGAGATCCTGTGGCCGTAAACTTCAGAATCTCTGTATTTGCTGTCTTGTCATGACACAGTACTCTGAAAACGGTCGTTTAATAATCAGAACTATGGTTTTGGCTGGTTATTGCTATGTAGTGGCACTGTTGATATTCTGTAAGTTGGTTGATTGCATATTAGTCATGCACAAATGGTAAGAAAGGGGACTGGGAGGATGATGTAACGAGAAGGAAGAATTCATCATCCTTTTATTTAGTTGTCATGTGGTAATAGCTTTTTCATTTGGCCTGGTTGCTTATTACAACATTCTGTGACCTGTGTGAAATAGGGCTAGACTCTGTAGTGTAATGGGCACCCTTGCGCGAGTAGGTTCTGGAGGGTTGTTAAATAAAGAGTGGCCAGTGTGTGTAACTAATCACTTAAGGTATTTAAATTCATTTGTTTACAGGGAAATCTGTATTTAAACATAAGGCTGCCTGCTTTCCAGAGTTGCTGGAATTCCAAAAGCAAATAATTGGCATTAATTATCAGAAATAAATCGGCTTTTAACTTTTCTATTTGGTGTAGTTAGTGTGTGTACAGTTCTTAGTGGCAGAATGTAAGCTAAAATTTTGCAAGTTATGAACCCTAACGTTAGGCGTTTGGGAATGTAACTGTATTCGGAAAAGCTGGTCGAAGCAGTCAAGTATGCTGCGCTTTCCACATGTGTTGGGGGCAGGGGAATGATGTGCTTTGGAGACAGAAGCTTGTGCATAGTAACTGCAGTAGAAATATAAAGTGTGACAGCTGCAAAGTAGCAATATATAGGATATACATATTTAGCACTGTCTCACTTTCCTTCAGAAAGGAGAAGAGAACATTGTAAGTTGTATCAAAATAGGCTAAAGATTTCCAGCATTGTGGATAGCTATTTAGTGGGGGGGAGTCAGTTCTTGCTTTTTGACTCAGTTATTTTTTTCATGCCATTTTGAATGACTGGGAAAGAATGTATAGAATTTGTGCTCACAAAGTATTGTTTCTGTATTATGTCTTAAGCTTTGTGATATCCAGTTTGGGGGGGAGAGTCGGCTTCTAGTTTGTGCACGGTATTATGAGCTCTCTGAATTAATGTTAGGTGTCACAGGAAGTTGCTATTTAATGGTACAAAAAGTAGGTATCCACATAGTTATAAACCATGTTGCTAAAAGTGAAGTAAAGCAGTGGCTCACGGAAGTGCTCCTACCTGTGGCAGATAGCGGTCCTGACGGCACATTTACTCAGCCTGCAGGCTAACAACTCCCAAGATGTGTCAGAGGGAAGCTAGAGCATTGGTGCAGCTGAAGCGCTGGTGCAATATGCAGTTAATTAGCTGATTTAGATTTCATAGTTATACCCTACTATGTTCAAGAAAATCCATTATCAGAATCCTAGTCAAGTTTATTTTGCATCTGTGGATGCAGGAAAAATGCAAGTGGGGGGTAGAATCTGAAGGTTCCCCTTTCAGTAATGAAGGATTTAAAAGCATTAGTGGTTTGGCAGAGTGGAATAGGTAGGCAGTAAATGCAAAGGGTCAGATGCATCTTGGAAAGAAAAGTTATTAATATAATGAGTATTTAGTGGTTGGTTGTAAAGTCTCATTTCTAACAATATCACAGCACGTATACTATTAATCCGACTACATTGTAACTTAAGAATCTCTATGCCAAAAAAACCCCAAAGCACCCCACACCCTAGTTCTTGCTTGCTTAGCATTGTTCTTTCTTTTAAAGATGGCATTGGTCTGAGAAATAAATGAAGTATGGTACTTGTATTACTGCTAAAACTCTTTGTGAAAGAGGAGAGGAAAATATATAAGTAAACTAGTTTGAACAAGTTTCAGATGGAAGCTATGAAGGAAGAATCTTCTGTGGTTGAAGGTGCCATTAGTTCACCTGCTCTGTCTGTCCTACACGCCTATGAATCATTGTGTTTCTGTGCAGCTACTACATGCCTACACTTCAATATGAAAAAATATTTTGTAGGTGCGGGACTGCATTCAGAAAACGCTGACTGAATGGAGCTCAAAGATTGGACAAGACCTAAATCAGGTAGGGGAGGTGTTGTGCATGTTATCCATGTTACACATGAAAACAGAGAAATACGTAGTTGGTTACACCTTTAAAAAAAATAATCTATGAAATCTCTGTATTCTATGAAATTTCTGTAAAAGTATCTGCAGCTCCAGCTACCTTAAGAGTATTTCTCCCCCCTCCCGCTTTTTTAAATATTTAGTAAATTTGGAGAGGTTGAGACCAAATACTGAAGTAAAGAATCCTGTTGATGACAAATAAGACAATTCTCAGCAAAATAAAAATCCTGGTCTGTAAGATTTCAAGTTAATTGTTGGAGCAATCAGAAAAAAAAAAAAAAAACCAACTCAATGGAGAATTATCTAAACTATGGAAGTGATAAACCAGATAGCTGAAGATCATCCCATTTAGAGGGGAACTCTGAATCGTAGCCTTGGTTGTCTTAGAAATGTTTCTGAAGATGCAGAAGTGGCAATTTTTCCCTTAAGAGCTAAAGACTTCCACATAATTCTTAAAACCACAATCTTGGGCATCTGACATCAAGATCTTGGTGTATTTGCCTGCTCCTCTTTCACTACTGCTTCTGAAATTCAGCAAAGCACTAATAGGTTCCCAATAAATACATTATTCAATCTGAAATATTAGCAAGTTTCATTAAAAAAAAACAAACAAAAAAACCAAAAAACAAACCCCCCTCCCCAAAAAGAAACCAACCTAAAAAACTTTCCTGACCATTTCTTTGGGTTTTGTTACCAGTTCTTGTGTAACAATGGTATCAACTGCACATTGCTGCATTCCATACTGGAGTGTGGTGAGGCAGTTATTGCTGCATGATTTGTGGAAGATCTAATGATTGCTCAAGAAGAGAACACAAACATTTGTCTCTGTAAGGTGTAGTGATCCATTTAAAGTTAATTATTTAGTGTAACCTAGGTTTTACTGTCAAAACATGTTAACTGCATAATTCCAAATTCTTTTATGCATTATATTCATTTCCAGTAAGTAAAAAAAAAAAAAAAAGTTAACTTTTGTTTAAAATGCTGACTTTATGGAATAACTCGAAGACTTGTTTGAGGATTTTTTGGTAGGGCAGTAAAAATTACCAGAGAGTTCTTGGTTGGGGGCAGGGTGGTGGGTGGGTGTGTATAATACAAAATCTCATGTAGGTAAAAAGTCGCCTTATGCCAGCTGACATGAGATGTCAGCCTAGGCTTAAATGAAGTCAGAGGGTGAAATTGCTAAAAATTTACTAATTTTTAGTTTCAAAATTATTGTTTTAAATCTGTATTTTACAGCATTTTCACTGTAGGCTTTTCATAGGCTTCAATTAAATTACAAAATACTTTTATACAAAGATGTTCCCACCCAACACCCAAACCCCCTAATTCTGATAGTTAGGTTTTTTTTTTCACCTGATCATGAGGCTTTTTTAAAGCAAGGCAGTTTGAATTGGCACAACAATCTGTTAACATCAGAAAATCGGAACACTACTAAATCTTATTCCAATAATTCTTATCAGTAATTTGTATTTTTTATATTAGGGGCATAGAGGGCCTTTCATATAGATTTGTTTTCCTGACCTCCCCTCAGAGATCAAGAAGCATTGGGTTACTTTCTTTCTGTCATTGCATTTTTATACTATTTTTGTTTCTAACTGCTGTAAGACTTTTTTTTTTTATTACTTAAAAACATTCTTCAGGAACTTACTGTCTCCTCTTGATGAGTTATTCCTAAGTTTCGTGTACTTACTACAGGAAATACGGGAGGTACTGGAATGTACTGTAGCTCAAGCTATAGAAAAAATAAATCCTGAAGAAAGGGATGAGTTGAAAGTATCAGGTAAGAATGTAGTAAAAAATCTGGTGGCATACAAAGGTTTCATATGCAGTCATTAACAGGATGTTCATATATGTATATTTTTTCCACCACGTTTTGTAATTGCAAAGTCAAATGACATCAGTGCACACTGTCATACTTTGGGCGTAATCTAGAAGTTGGCTAAGAAAGACTTGAATTTGTGTTACAGTCTTTAAAGCAGCTCAGCATTTTTCTAGTTTAACTTGCATCCCCTCAAGACATTTTAAATGTATTTTGTGAATCTTTGACTTTTCTGAAGCAAAATATTACGGATAATACTGCAATTAAGAAATAGCATTGGAAGCACGTTTATTTGCATAATTTTTCCAGGTTGAATATGATGAACTTGAAGGAGGCAGTCCAAACTAACACTAGTACATTTTGAGTCTCAGTAAGTTGTGAAGAAGTCTGTTTGTACTATTACGCTTGGGGTTTTTATACAGGTTGTTATGGTTATTGCTTAGTGTCTTGATGCTTAAGTCCTAGCTTTACAGCTTATTAGATCATCTGACTGGATGATTTCTTGTTCTGAGACTGCACAACAACTTTGAAATTTAAGAGAACAGTGTCTTTATTGAGCAGTCACCTTTCAGAAGGGTGTTTTTTTCCAATTTTTTAAGTAATTGGTGTACATTCTAAGAACTCTTTACCCAAGAACTCATAAGTAGTGTATATAGCAAAAGTAAATAGCTATATATTTGGTAATAGCTGGCTTGTTTAGTTATTGATTCCAGTTTCTTTGAAAATAGCAAAACTTTTCATCGTTGGATCAAACTCTTCATCGATCAGAGATGCAGTTGACTTGGGTAAGTGTGAAACTCAAACTTCTGGTAGTGTTTCTTTTTTTACTTTGGTATTCAGAAATAAAATTAGAACCTTTTCCATCTAAGAGGTGTATTTAGTGACTGTCACAAGTATATCCTGTTTTCCTATTAAGAGAGACTTGGGAAATCAAGTCGATTTACGTGTTAGTTCAGTCAGTAAACTTACTATATGTGGATCGCTGTAACCTTGGGTCCACAAACTCAAATCTGATTCCTTGCTCCAAGCAGGAGCAAGTTTTTATTCTTTCACACAAAACTTGTCAAAAAGTGAATAGCATGTGATGTTTTAGTAACAGTGATACAATAGTTCTTACCAGTTGTTGTTAGTTGCCAGTTGTTTTTAACATGATGAACTTTGCTACTACCTGCACAGTACTTCAGAGATTATTTAGGAAATAAAACAATGCTGCAAGCAGCTGATGAAATAGTTAAGTTGTATTGAAAATACAATACAATGGCTGTACTGATACATAGAGTTTCGTTAGCCTAACGTAGCAGTAATTGTGAGCAGCACTGAACTTTACCACTTTGGAAGATTGTTGAGCATAAGGGGTTACCAAAGAACAAAGGGTCAGATATCATTCTTTTCTATTGATACCCCAGTTAATAGCCTCTTTATTGTAAGTTGTAGTACCATGTGTTAAAAATACATTGATAGAAGCCTCCTTCAGAAGAAAATAATTTATTTAGCTACTTGGTTCTATTCTTTTTGCTGTGCAGAACAGGCCTCATGACTTGCATCTTTCCCAAAGCTTAGTGATACTCCAAGACTTGCCACTTCTCTCTGGCAATTTAAATCTCCATATTTGGTGTGGTTTTAGTCTAACTCCTCACAAATATCAAATAGTTCTCCTAGTCCATGCCCTGTACTTGAGTTGTAGTTCAGAGTGAAAGTCAAAAATTTTGGAAGAAATTGAGAGTGAAGGAATCAAGAACTGTATGTCACCACTGTCTTCAGAGAAAAATATAGTTTTAACATTGAAAAGGAGAAAAAAAGCTTCACGCTTTGTTTGGTGGTGGGTCTTTTGTTGGGTGTTTTTTGTCCCATCCCGTGTGTCGTCCCCCCCGACCTACAATTGAAACTTGGCCTTGAGGCGTATGTTTGATTCTTTGCTAAAAACATTGTGTTACTATCCTTGACTGCTGATCCACTCAGAGTTTCAAATGGTAAATGGGAACGGAGCAGAGTGAAGCAGGAGGTGTGGTTTTTGCTGAATTTGGAGAGTCATGCTGCTTATGTTGGTATCTCACACAAGATTTTGCAGTGTTTCTGTTCTTTTTTTCCTCAGCGTGTTCTGCCCTCGGAGTTGCTCAGTTAGACTCAGTCATTATTGCCCCACCTCCCGCTGAAGATGGAACTAGCCTCTCCTTGGAGTATTTGCAACCTTATTGGCAAGAACTTGAAACTCTAGTTCAAAACAAAAAGATTGTTGCCATAGGTACCTCTGACCTAGATAAAACACAGTTAGAGCAGCTGTATCTGTGGGCACAGGTGAGAACAAACTTCCTACTTGTAGCATTTCTAGGACAGAGTAACTGTTTTGTTGGCTGCCACATTGTTATAAACTGCTGTAAATGGGTTTATGTACTAAATATTAATTAGCCCTGTTATTTTCAGCATCTTGTGGACAGTCACAATGTTGTTCAAGGTGAGGGAGGCTCAAAGTGTGATTGTCACTTGTTCGGTGTTCTTACGTACAGGCCAGCAAAGGCTGGAAACCACAGGTCTGTTCAGTAGCAGGTTCTTTGAAGTAGTTAAGGTTTAAGTTTTGAATGCTCTTATATTTAGAAAGGAGTATAAACAGTTCTCTTAAACCTTCAGGTTTATTCCAGTGACTCTGAAAACATAGCTGTTTTCACTTTAAGCTGTTTTATGAATGGAGGGATTTCCCCTTAGAAAAATGCTGTTTGAGTGCTAAGCTTAAATGGAAAGTACAGGCTATGAATCACGTGGTACAATATTTTGTTGTCCGACGTGACTAATTGTCTCTTGTAACATTTAAGTGATGGAGGTCTGTACTAGTATGTGCCCATGCTCATGTAAGCCTGTGGATTTACTGTTTCCTTATTAGTTCTTTGAATACTCCTCTTATGACACTTCTTTTGTGGTAGGTGAACATGCTGTATCTGTACAAGAGGTCCTGCTGAGAGTTCCGATCCGTGCTCTTCACTGCCTTGTGTATACCAAGAGGAGGATAATTGAGGGGATTAATGACCACCTGCATGGTGCTCATTAATGCAGTTTGTGATGAGCAGAGAGTCAGTGGAAGAGTCCCTTTTAACTTAATCTGATCTAGGCACTTACCTGAAGGCACGGAACACTGCAAATTATCTATCCTTAACAAAAATTATTTTGTTTTGTTTGGTTTTTTTTAAGTCTTTTTCCAGCTAACACCCCTAGAATGTTTTTATTACAGCCTGCTGCTGTTTAGGGAGCACAGCAGACAGGAAGCCAGAATGGGTTAGCACACATCTTGCTGTGGCAGCACCTGAAGTTAGATCCTATTCTTGTTATGGGCTCTGTGCTGCAGGAAATTGCAGATGTAGGAGTTCCCTGTTCAGCATCATGCAGAATTAATTAGCCTTGTGCAGACCTCAAAACAATGGTCTAAAGCAAATTGTTCAAAGCAAAATTTCTGTTGTAATAGAGAACATGGGGAAAACAAACAACTAAAATAAGTACATTAATATTTTTCTTCTTTTAAAAGAAGTATTCTGTTACTTTCAGGTGAAACCAAGTAGTAATCAGGTGAACCTAGCTTCCTGTTGTGTGATGCCACCTGATCTCACAGCATTTGCAAAACAGTTTGACATACAGCTGTTAACTCACAATGACCCAAAAGGTAAGGCTTTGCCAGATAAGTTAACAGAAGACTTCTAAATGCATTTATTCAGTACAAAATCAGGAATAATCTTTCTCTGGGCTTCAAACTTCATTACATTTGAATCCTGAACAAAGGATTCCAAAAGTTTCACCTCTAAAATATTTCTATTAAGTCCTTGCTTTTGCTTCAAGAAAGGGGGCAAAAGGCAATCTTGCAGCCTCGGATAGTTTCTTGAAATCATTTTAATCAGAGAAAATAAAGTAAATAGAAGAACAAACTACTGATAAATTTGTACTACATATATTCAAAAAATAGCTTATTTCCACAAAACATAAAATGAAATGACAGTTTTATTGCTGAAGGCCAGTAAATGACAAATAAAAGTCCACTTGCCGAGAACTTGTCTGTGAAATAGGTTGCATAAAATGTTCATGGTCAGTTGGTTTTTGAGTAGTTTGGTAATATTAGACATATAAAATTATTATGCTTTAAGCAGGATTCTTTCAAAGTAGTGACTTATTAAAATAACATTATGACAAAAAGAGTTGGTGTAAATTCTTTACTTGTTTCATGCAGAGATTCGTTTATTAAATGATTGAAGGGCTTGGAGGCTTTCCTTTAGACTCTACAACTCTGAGTTACCAGCTCCCTAGAGTATTCTGGTATATTATATTAGTTTCTCTCAGACATCATCTAATCTTCTTCACTATAATGACACCTTAAATATCTCGCTGGAATTGTAAGCAAGAAGTCTTAAACAATATTTAGTTCATTCCTTCCCTACATTCTTCCTTATGACCAACTATTCATGATGATCATACTTTTCCTTCCTTCTCCTTTCTTCCCATTCCTCCCCCCCAAAGAAAAAAAGTATTTATGAAGTACATGTTCTATAGTACCACTGTTGCAACTAATGAATTTCGTCAGCGCTTGAGCACGTATCAGCACTGCTTTGGCAGCATACAAGATGAATTGCCATTCAATCTGACAATTTCCGTGTCCTGTGAAGTCCGAATGCAATCTGCGGTTTACTAAATACTCTCTATTGAGAGTCATTAAATGAAGGAGAAGAGGATTTGGATAGAAAACAAAGCAATGAGTGATTCCCTTATGCATTGTTTGCAAAGATTAACTTTTCTGTAATGGTCAGCTGAAGAGTATTGAGACTGTCTTTTGGGAACACGCCTCATCAAAGAGATTGTTCCCTTGACTGACTTCCCAGAGGAAACCAGGAGGAATTGTACTTGCCTTCCTTTTCTGCTTTGTGGCATTTAAGCAGATTTTTTTTAATGCTTTCTGGGCTTGTGGTTATTATGAGCCTAATCATGGGAGATGCTATAAATGTTGAGCTTCCAGTGACTGCAGAGGTAACTGAGAATGCTCAGTACTTTGCTGATTTCAGCCTTATGCTTTACTCACCTCTGGTTTGTCTAGCTAGCTTCTTTAATTTTCATTTTTTCCTGCTAATGGCTCTGCTGATCAGCTCCATTTGATATTGTAGAAATCTCAATTAATTAGTTTTGTGGAAAATACTCGATGTTGCAAAAAGTGTCCTGAAAATTTCTTCTATAATATTCAGCTGCTTTTACCCTACGCGCGTTCCTGAAGAGTGGATCTGTGGAGTATCTGGCACTGCCTAAGATTTTTTGACTGTAGGAAAAGGCTTCTCTTACTAAATGTTGCTTTTTGCAGCTGTTTACATGACATTATTTAAAGCATGAATATCCTTTTTTAACTTCAGAATTACTTTGTGAAGCAAGTTTCCAAGAAGTTCTTCAGGAAAGCATCCAGAACACGAACGCACATGAGTGGATTCCTTTATGGCTTCTCCGGTATTCAGTCATTGTTAAAAGCAGAGGAATTATCAAGTCCAAAGGCTATATCATGCAAGCTAAAAGAAATGCCTCTTAAAACACTTTTTTTTTTTTTTTTTTTTTAGATGGCTTTCTGTTTTAATTTCTTGGGAATGGGGGGGAACATCGCTTTTTTCACAGAAACACTTTTACAGCATTTGTAACAAAGACCAAAAGTTGTAATTATTCAGTGTGCTGTCAGCAGGAGTGTCTGCAGTGTTCTAACACTATTTTTCTTTCTTAACCTATTGACCAGTTCATTTAAAATACGAAATATTTTGGGTTTGTTGTTTTCAGTTGAAATAATCTATAGAGAAACAGTTTAAAATATTTTTCTTTGTATGACCAGTTCACTGTAAAGTTATCATTATATTTTAGCTGCCATTAGGTAGTATAGAGAAACTTATAGATTTTTATTTTTTAAGAAAATGAATTTCTCTTTAAATAATAGTTACTTATCTGGTAGGTACATAGATTTCAAGCATTCAAGGACTAGTTTTTCTAGAAAATTGTCATCTTTTATGAAAAATAACCCAAAAAATTTAAACTGGTATCTCATTTCTTGGTATGTATATATAGGCAAGTCAGCTGTTTAATTTGTGTGGATGGGAAAATTGGTTTATTTTTAATATAGTGTAAAAGACCTCTATGATTTAGAAGAAATGCATCTTCCAAATTACTTTGACTGTTACTTGAATTCCTTCTGGCTTCTTTGTGCCTCAATATGCTTTGTTTAGCGTTTGCACAAGTGTGATGGCATCTTTACTGTTTGAAATAGAAAATGTATTGTTGTGTGAATGTTTAAAATAAGAATTGAAAACAAGTGATGAAAAAGTCTGTTAATCAAAAATTGAATTGTGCCTGTCTTCTCAACTGTGGCTTGTTTTTTTGATAATTGTGAACTACGCAATCGGAATCGGCCAAGTCAGAACAGATAGTAAAGGCTGAAGCTGTTCACTATAGGATTGTGTAAAATGGATGACTTCTTCTGGGGTTGCCTAGGAAACTTTGCTTGAGTGCCATTCAGGAATGGTGCAAGCAAGGGTTAGTCTGAAGATAGGTATATTTCTGTTTGGCAGTAGCTTAGCGCACTGGCTTTTGAATCCTAGAAAGATTGCTGCAGCTAAGGCAAGGCTTCTGGTTTAATGTAGTCTTTCTATTGAAAAAAAACTTTTCATTTCCTTGGCCTCAGCAGGAGCTTGATACTGAGTGTCTAAAACACTCATTTTCCTTTTGATTTCAGGCAGGAGCAGGGCTTCATACTAGTAGTACTCATTAAAGTAGCTGTACATATTTTAAGGTTTGGACTGTAAGGGAGTGAATTTTCACCAATATCTTTCAAATTCCTGTCATGTAGGCAGCTAGTGGAATTTGAATGCTTGTAGGCAGTGTCTAGGGTGTCACCTTCCTATAATCCATTCCACAAAGTGAAAAGGTGAATTTTGAGTCCTCAAATATCTTACCTGTGGGTGGCAAATACTGGGAAATTTTCCTGGACTTCTTCAGCTCTTTTGATAAATGAGAGAGAGGGGGAACTGGAACTAGTAATGCATCAATGAAAGTTTGAGACACACACACACACACCCCCCCATCAAAATGTAGTCTTTTTTTTTTTTATGTCAGGTCAGTGTGTATCAGAGTTTCAAAATTACATGAATTTCATTTTAAACTTCCCTACCAGCTTTGAGTTGTGTGCTGCTGCTGATTAACCACTACCTGTAAATTCCGCCTCTGTGTTTGGCTGTCGGCATCCTGTACCGTATCACTCGCACGTGTGCTCAGTTTTATAAATTGGAATGCTACAAACCAAGAGTTGTGCTAAAACAATGTATAGGCTGCTCTAATGGGATAACTATTTATTTCCTTTCTGTAAACTGTTGACAATTTGCTTGCTGTAGAAACATACCCTTTAAGACATGATAATCTTATTTTTCTAGTCATTGATAGTGTAACATCTTACCAGGTTGTCTCATTCGTTATTTGTGCGTCAAAGTGGGAGAGGTGGGATTTCCTTCCATGAGAAACTTGAAAGTTTGAATTAAAATTTGAAATTCTTGTAGGCTTTTAATCTGTGCTTTGTTTAAATTCTCATCATCTCAATAACAGTATTTTACGCTGTCGTAAATAGCAGCTTACGCTTTGCCGTAAGAGGGCCTCGAGCGCCCTGCGCTCCGGGATGGCACCACCGCACGGCCTCCGGACTCCTCTCCCCGACGGAGCGCGCACGCTCCCTGCAGCGCGGTCCC